TCGATTGCAGTTTCTTGGGTGCATGCCGACTGTCTGCAGGTATGTATGGTATAGGGGTTTCGATGTTCGTGCGACGCACATATGAACAGGCATTTCATATTTTTGTGCAGAATTGCAGCATTGTGAAAGCATATAAACTTTATGCCACGATGTCACAATGTGACACGTGGGGGCGTTGACTGAACCAGTTGGAAAACTACGGTTCGCTTATATTACTTACCCATCTCCCGACCCAGAAGCGTAACACTTCATGCATCACAGCCTATAACCCCGCTGCAAACAGAACAAGGACCATTAGACAGAAGCAGAAATGAAGAATAAACGTACTTGGTCCGATGGCCGGCGTGGAGGACGTGGCGGAGGAGGGCCAGCGACGCAAGGTGCCGAGTGGCATCCAACATCCCGACTGGAAAGAGCGAGTTGGGATGGATCGAGGGAGGATGGATCGAGGGAGGTTCTCTCGAGCGGTCTCAGGAGTCTGTGACACGATCGTGCAGAACATCTGGCCGGAATTGGAGATTCCAGGCTGGGGACCTCGGGGGAGGCGAATATGTCTCCCTGGCGAGCCTCACGGCGTCGTTCGCTTTAGTGGAAATATGTAGTTATGATGACTGCAAGCTTGTTTTGTTTAGTGTTTTTTTTTTTATTTTTTTCCCTTCCTTTTTTCGTTTCACTTCGACTTTGCTTGGAATTTCGTATGTCTTGTATCATTTAAATTATAAATTCAGGGGCAGATGAGGTAAGGACATGCGTAAAACAGTATTTTTCACAATTTAATTTTGATAGAGAAACAACGCACAAGGAGCAACAAGTTTACTACCTTGCATATTCGACATCCGAGCAGGGTGACTGGCTGTACTGCAAGGCACGGGGAACCGGTTCCTGTGGGGGAAAACCAGCTGGGGCCTCCTCGTCGTGCGGGGAGGCCAGGCCTCCCGTCTGGATACTCGAACAGACCTGGGTCGAGAGGAGGATTTCATCTGGATGGAAAAAATCTGGAAGGGGTTTCTTGTGCTCGAGAAAATGGTTGCGCGGAGGGAGAGATCGGTCGTGCTTGGCCACGGATTATGAGGATTTCTAATCACGACAAATATATTTAGGTTGTTTCACGTGAAATGTCCGATTTTGAAGATGAGATTTAAAAGGCTATATTTTTAACAAATAAGAATTTCATTTAATCAAAATATGCTCCATTAGCTTGAATTGTCTTCTCCCAACGGGATACTAAGGAAAATATTCCATTTCTATAAAATTCTACATTTTTTGAATTAACAAACTCCTCAAATGCTCCAATTACAGCCTCTCGGTCCCGGAATGTTTTATTCCGGAGAAACAGCTCCAAGTGACGGAAAAGGTGAAAGGTCAGGTGAAAGGTCAGGTGAAAGGTCAGGTGAAAGGTCAGGTGAAAGGTCAGGTGAAATCCGTTGGTGAAAGGTCAGGTGATTATGGTGGATGCTGCAAAATTTCATAGCCCAATTCTGTCAAATTTTCCCACGGTGGTTCGTGATGTATGGGGTTGAGCATTGTCGTGCAGCAGAATCGGTCCTTGTCTGTTTATCAATATTGGCTGTTCGGTGGTCAATTTTTGATGCATGATTTCAATTTGCTGACAATATGATTCTGCTGTAACTGATTGTCCCGGTTGCAAAAAAGAATAGTGTATGATTTGCAGACCACCATACTGTCACCATGACCTATTTTGGGTGCAATGGCGGTTTTGGTGCATGTCTTGGAGCTTCACCAGCATTCAACCATTGTCCACTTCTTTTCCGGTTATTGTACAGGATCCA